GTCCCACAGTGGGCAGGGGTATCCCATGGGACTGGTGAAAAACTGACACGAAGTACCCATTTAGCAAGTTTTGCTTTTTCCTGGGCACCAGTTGTCCCATCTGGTTTGGCAGGGGCCCAATGTTGGCCTTGCTTTTCCTCTGGCTCCCACATATCTAAAAAAGGACATTTTATTGTCCTTGATATTTGTAGCTAGCTGGAGTTCCATCGCAGCCTTGGCTTTCCTGGTTTGCTCTGTGCAGTTCTGGACCAGAGCAGAGTATTCCTTCTTGGTGGTGGTTTCAGTCCTCCATCCTTTGTAGGTCTTCCTTTTAAGAGGCAGGAGGTCCGCTAGCTCCTTGGAGAACTAAGGGGGCTGCTGTGCCCTTTTGCTGCCTTTCCTCCAAGATGGGATAGACTTTGCTTGCACATCCAGGATCGCTTCCTTGAGGAGCAATCACTCGTCCTGAACTCCCCTCCCTTTTGGGTTGTGGCCCTTTAGGGCCTTGCTGACAAGCCGCCTTAGCTTGTCAAAGTCAGCATTCCTGAGGTCAAGGACTTCCGTATTGCTGACTGACTTGCCAGCTTTATGGCGGATGATGAAGGTGATCAGCTCATGGTCACTGTTGCCCAGCTTCCCTTCGATCATTAGGTCGCTGATTAGGTCGTTCCCGGTTGCCAGTTCCAGGTCGAGCAGCACTTTACCTCTCATCGGCCCATAGACCTCGTGCATCAGATAGAGGTCATCCACGCATGAGAGAGAGCTTTGCGACCACTCGGATTTGACTGAGTGCTCCTCCCACGAGATGTCTGGGTAGTTAGTTTCCCATGACAACCATACGCTGGGAGCGCACGGCCTCAGCCAATTCCCTGGCAGACTCCCAGTCAAGGTCTTGATCCTGGGCAGGAGGTCTATAGTAGACTCCCACCATAGTATCCCCTATGCTCTGTTCCCCATGGATTTTAATCCAGAGGGTCTCCAGTCGTCCACCATGGGTGCCAATGTCAGCTTGCAGGGATGCGTAGCTTTCCTTGACAGAGAGAGCTACACCCCCGCCCCTTTTGTCCAGTCGATTCCCTCCTGTACAGGGTATAGCTGTCTATACCTGTGGTCCAGTCATGGGTGGAGTCCCACCAGGTCTCCGTTATCCCTAAGATGATGCTTGAACAGAGTATCTAATGGCACTGACAGATGTGTGTGGGGTGGGGAAAACACGCTCTACTGGAAGCAGCAGCACATTACTTCAACCCAGCTCTGCAGCATCTGTAGAGATGGGGTGCTTCAGTGGGGCTTTTTTGGCATTTTTATCTAATAGCTGACTGAATCAGCTTTAGTTAAAAGCACCAAAAAGCCCCACTGAAGCATCCAATCCCCAAAGACATTGGGAAAGCCGGGTATAACTAACATGCTACCTCTTTTGGGCATGTGTTGGGCTCGGTTTAAAGTAAAGCACTGTCTGCTTTTTTTTCCTGATGTCTGTAAGCAGTTTAAGTGTAAGAGTCTTTCACCTGTTCATTAGTATATATGAAAAGTTACTTGATTTAAGGTTATTGAGCTAGGGAGTAACCAAATACATTAGATAAACTGATAGCTAAAGAGCAAAACTATTTAAATGAACAGTTCTGATGTTTGCTCCGCTTATTTTTTACGTTGACTTTTTTTCTGTTAGTGGAACTTGGGTCCTTTAGATTGTGATCATATTGTTAAAGCACGAAGCATACGTGAGCTGTAGACTGTAATTCAGTATTTCCTATTGAATTCCTATTTTAGATAGAAAATAAAAGTGAACATATGAATGCTGCTTCTGCAGTGTAACAGTATATTTCTCTGAAACGTTGTTTTTCATAATGAACTATTCTTCATTCAGTCAATTGCCATGATCTCATTTTTGTAGAGATTTGAAAAACAATTGGTTAAAATACATCTTTAAGGTTAGAAAATAATTTTGAAAAAATCATGGACTGAGTAATTGAGAATGGAATAGTACAGCAGTTGCAATTTACTCAAAATAAATTGCAGTTGATGGTAAAGGGAATAAATCCATTTAACTTGTTTCCAATTTAAATGGAAGACTCAAATTGCATTTCTCATTATAATTTCTTTGCTAACTGCTTCAAACTTACTGTGTGATCTTTGATCAGTCCCATTGCTTTCTTGGGGATATTGCTGACTTATTCATAGTTTATTGAAAAGTACAGAATATATTGAAAATATTATTATATTCCTGTTTGTTTGATCTACTTTGTATTGTTTTGTTCACTACTAGATATTCTGTGTTTTCTTAGAAATTGTTTTAGGGTCACTACATTTCTGTTCATCACTCATAGCAGCTTGCCATGTTGATTTAAAGATTGCTCTCATTTTGGCAAAATTGTAGGCAGGTTCTTCACCTGCTGGCTAGTAAGGAATAGAGTTGGAGCCATGTGACAATTCTTTTTTTTTCCTCTGAAAAAATAAATAAATTTTCCCCTGGTGTTAGCAGACAGTCTCTGAGCTGAGCTCCTACAACTCATTCTTGCGCTTTGAAGTGATAGGATAGCTCTTTTCTTCTACAAGCTTTCCATCCTAAGTAGGGTCCAGAACGATGACAATATTTCATTCTCATTCCAGCTGAGCAGTGCACTTAAGCTCTCTGGCAGTCCTCTCCTGTGAAATAACAAGGAGGAGGAAAAGTACCCCTCCTCTTGCCCCCTTCTTTGCAGAGTTCTGGGAAAGGCAAGATGGTTTTCCTTCTGCAATGTATGAATGTGGAAGTTGTGTGAACTAAAGGTCAGCATAGAAACTGAAGTCATGGCCTGCCTTTTGCAAGAAATGTTTGAAGGGAGCGGCCTTTAAAATTGACAGTGTATCTGATGGAAGGATAGTTTTATTAGTATAACAATAGATCGATACACAATATATTTAAGCAATGCATAGCTTACTGCACGATATATACAGCTAACCAGAGGGGCTAGGGACAGACATTCAAAAAGCCTGAGCCTGAATTGATTCGATCTTTGCAGGTTAGTCTAACTTGGCTAGGCTGAACCAGTTTGTAATCATACAGACATCTCCTCTGGACTGAAGAAATGCAGACACATGCCTGCGAGGGGGGCGGGGCGTGGTGCTAGAGCAGCCCTCCCTTCCCTTCTTTAGTGCTGAGCTAAGGGGGAGCATGGCCAGGCCCAAGCAGGATGCCCAGATTAGGGAGGGGTCCCCCCAACTCGCTGTTGGTAACAGAGCATTTAGTTACACACAGGGAGTTGCACAGGGAATTGTTAGCATTTATCAGCACATCAAACAAAATAAAAAGATCTCTCATTAGTTCAAGCTCTTCTTAAACAGCTTTTTCAAAGGAAGGGATGGAGGGACATTACCAGCTACCTGTTGATTAGTTCCAAAAAGCCCTAAGCAGACACTGTCCTGTCTGCCTTTGTCTAGTCTCCCACAGTGTGTACTGTAGCCAGCATGTGGTGTGCTAGCTAATGCTGAGAGGTGTCTGTGTAAGGCAGAGGGAAGGGGGAAATTACTACTTGAGCAGGGAGGGGTGAGGGGGAGGAAGAGGCAGGAGGAAGCCAGAAAGACACTGCTGTACCTGCAGTCACTGCTGGAACTCCAGCCAGGGAGCAGAGAGGAGGAGCCAGCACAGCTCTCTGGAGCAAAGAGCTCCTCCCAAAACTGCAAAGCCTCTGGGATGTTTGGGGGCTCTGGTTTAAGATAGACCAGCAAGGTGTCTGGGACAGACATTGCATAAACCATTTTGAACCCAATCAGTTAAGTCTAATACTGCATTCGACCAGGTTTATCTCAAACCAATTTCAGCCATTTACAAACTGGTTTATGTGCACTGAGCATCTGCTCTTTTACAGCTCTAAACCAGTTTCTAATCACTTAAACAGGTTTATGTATAATGTCTGTCCCTAGCCCAGCTGCCTCCGTGAGTTAATATGTTCTTCTTTAGTCTGTTGGCTGATCTTTGTTGCCTTAATATCTTTTTTTTTTTTCTTTCTTAATTCAACTTTAAGTACATTTTCTTTCATGTCCTATCCTTTTTATGCTCAGTCCTTCCTCTCTTTTTTAAAAATATCATTCTTTATAAGTGGTGGATGACACATTATATTCTGTCCTCTTTTTTTATTTATATTTCTTGTATTGAAAACAACAAATAGTCATGTAAAAAGTATTCTGTTTTTAAAGTTTATAATCATTCTCTAATGAAGTATGAGGTTTGATATTGTTGTCAGTAAAAGAGGGAGCGCACAGGCTTCTTGTAGTTGCTTTTCAAACCTTATCCAGCAGTATTTTTACTGAACAAACTCTGGACATTGCTAACTAGTAACTGAATTATATTGACGTGTTAAATGGGCATGTGCTGTAAACGCATCTGCTGTCAAATTAATGCCTGTGACACTAAAACTGTTTGTTGTCCATGTGTGATCTGAACCGGATGGGAATCAGAGATGATAGGCTAGTTTAATTTATAGAGCCATACTGCCAATCAGACATAACCTGGAGGCTAGATTATAAACTAGTGTTAGTAACTAGGCAAGGCAGGTACATTCTCATAGTTATGTGATTTTATTAGGTAATTCTTTTCAGTAAACTGAAGTGTATTAGGTATACTTTGGTATAAAAATAACCAATATTAATGATTACACATACAAAAGAAGACGATCAGTCTAGGAAACTTCACATTACAGTGAATCATTTAAGGATAAATACTAGGAGATAAGTCTAGAAATATTTCCAGTGTTGTCCTAATAACATCTTGGTATAGGTAATATTCATTTTTATTCATATTCATTATTCATTTTCATCTGGGCACCATTGTTGTCTTTACCCCCACCTGACCTAAATTATAGTGTGATTTTACTTTTTCTGAATATTGTTTTCTAACACAGGGAGGTTCTTTTCAGTGGTTGAAGTGGTTTTTACTTTATGTATATAAATATAACTAATGTGTAAAGTACTTTAGATATTGTGGGCTGAAAAGGTGTTATGTTAGTATATTATTATTTATTATTAAAACCTTTTTCCCCCAGGTTCTTCCATTGGAAAATAGAATGAAAGAAACCACACGTTTCCCACAAGCTCTGAATATTGGCATGGGAATTGTTATGACCTTGTATATCTCACTAGCCACTCTAGGATACCTACGCTTTGGGGATGAAATCAAAGGCAGCATAACTTTAAATCTGCCACAAGATGTATGGTAGGTGGATATATGACTTAAAAGTTTTAGAAATTAAATATACTTTGCAGGGGAGTTTTATGTTCCATATACAGCCCTTTGTGGTATTTTATATTGGGTTTTAAAATACTTATGCATCAATCAAATCACTTCTCTGACTTGTTAATAACTTTAACATATTGAGGTCTTGAAACATGTGTGGTTCTTCCCTGAACCCTCTCCAGTTTTTCAATTTCTTTTAAAAATGTGGACATCAGACTGGTACACAATATGTACCAGCATGTACCAGTGCTGTATACCAAGGTAAAATCATCTTTCCATTAGTCATGTCATTCTCAGTGGTGTCTACTTTTTGAGTGTTGTCATGTATATAGTTCTTAATCTATTACACTGGCAGGTAAAAAACAACACGTGAAATATTTTGTTCTAGTTCAGCTTTAGTTACCAAAGACGCATATTGGTAAGCTATTTCTGTACAACACGAAGTCCTGTGAAAAGAGACCCTGAGTGAGCTCTGTATATGCTAGCTCTGGAACTGGAAACAGCATAGCCATGTTAGCATTAACAAACATTAGTTGAATAGTTCTGCTGAGAAGTGGGACTTACTAGGTAGAGCACAGAGCCATGCTGATGTGACTGTACTGCTTCCAGTTCCCGAGCCAGCATGGGCAGAGCTAGGTCAAGTAACTCTGAATGGCATTGCCTTCTGTTATATGCACGTTCCCTAAAGGATTTTTTTTATCCCCAAATTTTGGGTTCCTTCTACCAGTGATACAGAAAAAAATCTGTAAATGTGCATAATCTTGCAGGATGTTCTTTTTTCTGTTATCAAATCCACCTCAGTCTTTCCTTCTCCAGACTATGTAACCCTTGTTTTTTTCAGACTTTCCTCATAAGTTTTGCTTCCCAGGCTCCTAATAATTTTTGTTGCTCTGCGCTGGACTCTTTCCAAAATATCCACATCCTTCTTGAAGTGTTGGGCCCAAAATTGGACGTTACTCCAGGTGAGGCCTCTTCAGTGCTGAATAGAGCAGAAGAATCCCTTTCCTTGGTTTGCAAGTGGAATTCAGAGAGTCATAGAAGGTTAGGGTTGCAAGGGACCTCAGGAGGTCATCTAGTCTAAACACTTTGCTCAAAGCAGGACCATCCTGAACTATATCATCCCAGCCAAGGCTTTGTCTAGCTGGTAGGACTGTGCGAAGCTTTGGTCCCTGATTCAATTCAGCGGAGATTCAGCCCGATTTGGTGGCTGGATCTCCGAATCCGAATCAAATCAGAAGACCCTTTAATCTCTCCTAATCGATTTGGACAGATTCAGTGATTCGGACGTAGATAGAGCTTTAAATGTTTTTTCTACATACCTCTAGGTAGCAGGGGCTCCAAACACTGCAGTGCTGGGGCAGATGCAGTGTACCACAGAAGCACAGGGTGCTCCCTAGCATGCTCGGAAGCCGACCTGGAAGTGGACCAGAAGCACTTCTGGGCTACTTCCTGGTCCAGCAGGGAGTGCACAGTCGTGCCGCCCCCTGTGTCCACCTCGCTCAGTGACTGGTGCCTCCTGGGTCTGGGGAGGACACCTAGGATCCCCCCGCGGCCAATTGCCGAGCCGGGAGGGCACAAGTGGGAGGCCCCCAGCATGCTCCCTGGCAGACCCAGAAGTGGTCCAGAAGTACTTCTGGTCCACTTCTGGGTTTGGTGCTGAGTATGCTGGAGAGTCCCCCACACTCCTGTGGGACGCTACATGTGCCCCAGCACTGCAGTGATCATGAGCTTCGCTGCTACCTCAAGGTATGTAGAAAAAAACTTTGAAGGCTGTGCCTGTGTCTGAATTGCTGATTCAGTGAATCAGCATTGAATCTTCAGGTTTGGATTCAGCCGAATTAAATCGGGGACAGTGATCCAAATCAACAGGTTGAATCACTGTCCCTGATTTGGGCTGAATCCAAATCTGAATCGAATAGGGCCTACTTCACACAGCCCTACTAGCTGGGTCTTAAAAACCTGTTTGTATAATTCAGTATATTGTTGGCTATTTTTGCAATGAGAGCAAACTGTTGGTTCATATTCAACTTATGGTCTACTGTAATCCACAGGTCTTTCTCTGCAGTAGTGCAGCCTGGCTTGTCATTCCCAATCTATATTTGTGCATGCAAGTATTCTGTTCCAAGAGCTGGACTCTGCACAAGTCCTTGCTGAATCTCATTAGATAGGTTGCACACCATTTCTCCAGTTTATTCAGGTCATTCTGAATCGTAGCTCTACCTTATGAAGTATATGAAACTCTACCCAACTGTGTGTTGTCCACAAATTTGCTAAGAGGGCACTTGGTCCCATTGTCCAAATTATTAATGAAGATGATAAAGAATACCAGACCCAGGACAGATCCCTGGGAGCCCCAATTGATATCTGTTCCCACCTAGATATTGAGCCAGTGATTACCAGGGATCCTGGCTTTCTCTTTAAAAAAAAAAAAAAAAAAAAAAAAAATCCCCAATTTTCAGATTAAAAAAGACCCCAAATCCATATTTTTCTGTGATCAAAATGACACGCCACCACATACATATGTATATATTAGTAGTGCTTCATTTTAATCATGGAAAAATGTGGATTTTAGGTTAATTTTTTTAATCCAAAAGTTGGGAACCTTTTATTTTTATCAGAGAAAACCAGGATCCCTGGTGATAACTACACACTAAATGTGATGATTCAACAAATTTTCTACCTGCCTTACAATACTTTCATCTAGTTAGTATTTTTTTAGCTGGTTAGTGAGACTGTCATAAAAGACAGTGTCAAAAGCCTCATTAAAATCAAGTTTATCACATCTGCCACCCCCCCCCCCCCCCCCCCCCCCATGTAGTAATAGTAATTATTGAGGTATTATTATTATTATTATTGCTAGGAAAGACATTGTAATCTTAGAATAAATATTTTTCCTTTATGAAATTCACAAATAAATTGTATGTCAAGATTATAGGATGACCATCACCAGTACAGATATTAGCAAGTCTTAACATATTAAATTCACAAAGTTGTACTTGAATCCAGTGAGTCATATCACACCACATAATGTGCAATATGTTCTAGCTCTGTTAAAATTTATTATTTGGCTCCAACTTGGGGTTCAAAATCTTTCTCTACTTAAATTCTATCCTTGTAAGTGATATGATCTGACCATTTGAGAGGGAAATATATTGTAAAATAGTGATTTAGCCTTTTATATACTTTTCCTAAAAACACTGTATACTTATTTGGGTATTAATTATCAGAGAAATGGGAATAGCAGTTTAAATGGATTTGCTTTTTATCTTAATTCATAGTGCTATTTCACTTGCTTACTAAACCATATCAGAGCATCACTACTTTTTTTTAAATGTAATTCTTTTTTAGATAGGTTAATATCAGATTTGTAAATTCTAGTAATAATTTAAACTGTACATGTACACACTGCAGCAATTAATGGTTTTCCTTATGATAAGTTGATGATAAGGCATTTGTGTCATGGCCATTGATTAATGCTTCCTGAGTGCATAGGAAAATCTGCTACACTCCTGGAGGTACATCTTATTAGCTTTTTAATTCTGATTCTTTGCTTTAGCACACCAGGACTTCCAATTTCTAATCCTTGAAATAAACTTCTGCTTTAAATCTGTTACTGATTAACCAAGAATAATTGTTTGATATATTTTAAATCTTAATAAATTGTTACCTTTTCATATTCTAATCCTCTGGTGCCTTCAGAAAATATCACTTTATTTGGTACTTTATAAAGTATCAAAATGTAGATGAAGCCAATTCTGTAAACTCTTATGCTGTTAAGTTCTGATATTGCAAATTAAAAGTACTTCTCATTCTTCAATTCAAAGTCATCCGTAATTTTCATAGATCCAACCTGCACCTTTCCTTTTGTCCTGATGCAAAGTCAGCTCCTTTCCTTCCTCCACTACTGATGTTAGTCCTGATCACCCATTTTTTTCCAACAAACATTTTTCGTATTTTCTTTCATGATGTCCTTTATGAAAAGAAGAAAACTCTTAGGAAAACTTAGTTCGCCGCCTTCTCTTCCTTCAAGCTCTTCCTCAGAACTTACCTCTTCCAGCCTAGAAATTTCAGTCTGGGTATGGGTGGCCCAGTGGAGAGCTGTGATCTTCACCACTGCCTGGAAAATAACTTCTTTGTCTCCGCCATCTGATAAGACTTATCTTACAGATTTTGAGACCTGTGGATAAGGAACTAAAGTATTTTTATATCTCTGTGGCCTTGAAATATGACTGCAGGTAAACATTTAATAAAGTGGTCGGCTGCATAGAGACTGATAGGTTTGACTCCCACCCTTCAGTTAAGGTCACTGTAAGAATTGAGCAGGTCTTCTGCCCAAAACATAGATGCATGCAAGGCTTCTTGGAAATGTGAATGATCTGTACAGAGGGGTTATGGCAGAATTTTGTTTTTGGAAGGGGTGTTTGTATGTAAAAGAGAAGGAGGTAGTAAATACAATCCTACTGATAGGAAAGCCTGATGCCACTGAACAGCACTAATGTGTCACCCGGGGAGAAATGGGATTGCGGAATGATAGTGTATAGTGGAAAGGTATTTGAACTGTGAGCAGAGAAATTCTCTGGTTGTACAATCCCTCATAAGTTCAAGAAAACAGGGCTTTGTACATTCCTGAGAATAAATAGACTGCATCAAAGATACCTGACTTCATCACTGAACTTGCCTCCTAACTAAAATAACCTGAGGATGCCGACTCTTGGCTAAGCATTCGGGTAAGAAGAGGCAACACTACTAAAAGGACTTCTTGGAATTCATTCTTTGTAGAACATAATAATTATAATACATTATATAGGGTTAGCAATTACCATTTGCTTACCAAACACAAGGAGGACACAGATTTTGCCCTGAAGGTCACATAATCCAAAAATATTTTGTGTTGTGCTGAGTGGTTTATAATGAAGCCTTTTGTGTATGGACTTTTTAAAGTCAAATGGTATTTTATTCAGGTTTCCTTCCATACTACT